AGGTCATGGCCAGTATTTTATTGAAATAACGTTTTAATGTTATTGGGGACCGCTAAAAGTGAATGTTGGGAAATTCGAATTTTCTTTGATGTCAATCTTAAACACACCTTCTAAATTAATATTTGGTGCTTTGAACTCGTTCAGCGAATCCTATAAAGGTATGCTCTATAATAATTCCTTTGTTCCCCTTCTTAGTAGTGAGTAAATAAAACTTTCAAATATTGCAGTCATGTACAGGTTTAACCAGGGTGATCAAGTTTGAAAAACACAATTTAGAATTCGTGATACTTCTAAGTTATTAACTAGAAATGCAACTAGGTTTTCTGTTTAAATTACTCCTTACTCAAGCTTTTTAAAAAGAAGAAGATACTGTTAAAAATGAATAGAAGTTTTTACCTTACGATTTGACAATTTGCTTTTCGTAAACGTTGTAGATATAAATTTTAAGGTGAACGAAATTGGCAAATGTTTCAAATTATTTATTACATTATCATTTAGAATATTCGCGCACATTTCCTATTTATTCTTAAGGTCGATTTGGCTAAAAGTAGATCCCTTAGATGCAAAGAACTATCAGAAGTAAGGAACAGTCTTTGATTTTTCGAACTACATGAGTTAAGGTAGCGTTGAATTGTGTTTCACTGTCTTGTATTACAATCTTTGCTTTTGATATATCGAAGTAGTACGTTGAATGTTGTTTGTCATTTTGTTTTTTTTTTTTTTCGAGAAAGTTTAATATAAAACAGATCTTTCCATGTTTTGTTATTTGTATTTTTTGCCTGTTAAAGGTTTCAAATATATATTACTTCCTTATTTAAAATTTTTTTTATCAATTAACAATAAATTACTCGATTTTATTTAGTAAAATATTGTGTTTCATATCTTTTATTCCTTTGGCCATGATGTCTTGTTGTTGCTATCGCATGTTAATATCATACCAAAAGATAGTTATCGTAAGGAATAATTTTGTCAGAAAATATAGTAGTCATAATTAATTTTTCGGAAACACGTTTGTATTTTCCGAACTAGACAATCGTTCTTATTTGCCTCCGAAAATATGTACACCAAATTTTGAGCTGTGTTGCACATATTTAAACAATGAGCGATATCATATTGATCCATGTCTTGTGGTAGGGCATGGGTAAACTGCTTCACGGAGCTCATCATCAACATCCTCATTGTTTTTTATGAATCACTAAGAGCTCTTGTTTCACTTGTTAACAGTAGTATTACCCTTAAAATTGCATGCATTTACGATGCAGGAAAAGCGGCAAAAATTTCAATTGGACCACGATCTAAGATCGGTTTTTTCTTGCACCCTTATCAGTTTTTTTATTTATACTCACACCATTTCGAAATATAAAATATTTTATCGCAATTATGTCTTCAACATAGATTCTTGCATTAATTTAATGCTAATCAATGCTCAAAATTTTTGAAAACGGAAGCAGAAGTCATATCTAGAAGGGAACATTTGTTAAATGCGTTTGAATTTGAAAGATATTAATTTTTTCCTCGCTTGTTTTTCCTCACGATCGAAAAATCAATTTTGTTGTTTCTTTAAAAGTACCTGTAATCCTCTTGAATTTGTACGTGCTATTTGATGCAGAACATGCAAATTAAATATTAATTAATCTACCATCTTAGAACTGCTTCTAATTGTCATATTTACTATAACATTTATTAATGCATACTCAAACCATTTCAAAGTGTATATAATGTTTTATTAGAATGCCATTTTCAGCATCGATTCTTGCAAAAATTGTTGTTAATCTGTGCTCAAAACGTTGGAAATATAAGCAGGATACATTTTCAGTAGGCACTTTTTCTTAAATGCTTGGACATGAGTGATAGAATTTAGTGCCTGGTTGGCTTATCTCACAATCGAAGAATCCATCCTGTTGTTATCCTAGAGATATTTGGACTTCTCTTGAGACTGCGTGTGTTTTTGTGAGGCAAGGCATGCGAATATGGAAGATATGCTGCGAAAATACTTCAGTAACCTGCTTGGGTTAACTGTTCGACGTAGAAGAAAATGTGCCACTGCTCAGCTATGGGAGACTTTATGCTTAAAAGAAAATGCGCCGCAGGCCGGCTTGGGACGGGTAAGTGTCAGGAAAAAATGCGCCGCAGGCGGCAAATTTTTCAGGGTATAAGTAGAGGCCCGTCAGAGTGACCAAATTGGGACGGGTTTGTGTGAAGAAGAAATGCGCCGCAGGCGGCAAATTTTTCAGGGTATAAATAGAGGCCCGGCAGGTAGACAAAATTGCTGGTGAGGACCTTTTTTTTTTTTTTTTTTTTTTTTTTTTTTTTTTTTTTTTTTGCTCTTCATTTTCATTTCGAGTGACATCAAAAGTAGGTCTCACATTTATTATTCTCCGACGACGAATTGTTCATCGAATCAAATTTGAAATTTTATTTAACATTGAACTTCAATTCCGATTGGAAATAAAAATCATTAACAATTATCCATATTTCCATTCCACAGATACTTCATCGAAATTCTTCATCAACACCAACAACACCATTTTGAAGGAAGGCGAAGGAAGCATTGAAGCAACTTATTCATGGCAAAGGTGAAAGAAGAAGGTAAGACAATGAACAATGAAAACTAATTCAACACATATTAATATTTCTTTCTTTCATTGATTCTTTACAGCTTCTTCATTCATTCATATGCATTTCTATGGATAATACTCACTGTCTCATTGTGAACTACTACAACTAAATGAACGAGCGACCTAGCTAACGAATCCACATACATATATGTGTTGTGAAAAGAAGCTGTAACTGCAATACTTCCACTTCCACCAATTGTCAATGCATCGACAACAAATAATACATTGGCTGGACTTGACAAGCAACCACGCAGACTACTAGTAGCCAAGGTAAGGCAAGGCAAGGCAAGGCATTAGAGTTGAAGACTGACCAATAGCAATAGCAATGGCAATGGCAATAGAAATACCAACACTAATACCATTTAGTGGGATCGATTTGAACGGATATTCTAGTGCATACATTGAAGTTGCAGCTGAAATTGGTGGTGAAGTTGAAGTTGAAATTGAAGAAAGTATTGATGAGACAGCAAGGCAAGGCAACGAGATGACAAAGGCGAAAGGCAATTGGCAGTGGCCATCAATGGAAGATGTAAGTGAAAAAGTGATCGAATTGTTACGTGAAGGAGTAGTTGTAGTAGAATTGTTATTGATGTTGGTGTTGATGTTGATGTTGATATTGATGTTGGTGTTAGCTATCAATGTATATGCAATTGTAAAGAGCTGATGAAGTGAGTGAGCGAGTGTTAGAGTTCCGACACGGTGCAATAATGGGAGGCCATATGGTGTTGAGCTTTCACGACTACATGGCTTATGGCCGTAGTCCGACTATACCCCCAGAACCACTAATTATTCCCGCAACTCCCAACATTTCGTACTGCTGCTGAAGACTTGGATGAATGAATGCGCATCTCTACATCGTACATCCGGATTGCCACCTGAACACGCGGAATTGTAGCCTTTGTTGGAGTGCTAAGTGCTTCGCCTCTGGTATTTGATACTCACTATGTGGATTATGCGCCGCAGGCCGGCTATGTAAGACTGTCTGCATTGGAGGAATTGCGCCGTAGGCCGGCTTGGGACGGGTAAGTGTCAAGAAAAAATGCGCCGCAGGCGGCAAATTTTTCAGGGTATAAGTAGAGGCCCGGCAGAGTGACCAAATTGGGACGGGTTTGTGTGAAGAAGAAATGCGCCGCAGGCGGCAAATTTTTCAGGGTATAAATAGAGGCCCGGCAGGTAGACAAAATTGCTGGTGAGGACCTTTTTTTTTTTTTTTTTTTTTTTTTTTTTTTTTTTTGCTCTTCATTTTCATTTCGAGTGACATCAAAAGTAGGTCTCACATTTATTCTTCTAATCAAATTTGAATTTCATTTAACATTGAACTTCAATTCCAATTGCAAATGAAAATAATTAACAATTATCCATATTTCCACAGATACTTCATCGAATTTCTTCATCAACACCAACAACACCATTTTGAAGGAAGGCGAAGGAAGCATTGAAGCAACTTATTCATGGCAAAGGTAAAAGAAGAAGGTAAGACAATGAACAATGAAAACTAATTGAACACATATTAATATTTCTTTCTTTCATTGATTCTTTACAGCTTCTTCATTCATTCATATGCATTTCTATGGATAATACTCACTGTCTCATTGTGAACTACTACAACTAAATGAACGAGCGAGCTAGCTAACGAATCCACATACATATATGTGTTGTGAAAAGAAGCTGTAACTGCAATACTTCCTCCAATTGTCAATGCATCGACAACAAATAATACATTGGCTGGACTTGACAAGCAACCACGCAGACTACTAGTAGCCAAGGTAAGGCAAGGCATTAGAGTTGAAGACTGACCAATAGCAATAGCAATAGCAATGGCAATGGCAATACCAACACTAATACCATTTAATGGGATCGATTTGAACGGATATTCTAGTGCATACATTGAAGTTGCAGCTGAAATTGGTGGTGAGGTTGAAGTTGAAATTGAAGAAGAAAGTATTGATGAGACAGCAAGGCAACGAGATGACAAAGGCGAAAGGCAATTGGCAGTGGCCATCAATGGAAGATGTAAGTGAAAAAGTGATCGAATTGTTACGTGAAGGAGTAGTTGTAGTAGAATTGTTATTGATATTGGTGTTGATGTTGATGTTGATGTTGATGTTGATATTGGTGTTGATGTTGATATTGGTGTTAGCTATCAATCTGTATGCAAGTGTGAAGAGCTGATGAAGTGAGTGAGCGAGTGTTAGAGTTCCGACACGGTGCAATAATGGGAGGCCATATGGTGTTGAGCTTTCACGACTACATGGCTTATGGCCGTAGTCCGACTATACCCCCAGAACCACTAATTATTCCCGCAACTCCCAACATTTCGTACTGCTGCTGAAGACTTGGATGAATGAATGCGCATCTCTACATCGTACATTCGGATTGCCACCTGAACACGCGGAATTGTAGCCTTTGTTGGAGTGCTAAGTGCTTCGCCTCTGGTATTTGATACTCACTATGTGGATTATGCGCCGCAGGCCGGCTATGTAAGACTGTCTGCATTGGAGGAATTGCGCCGTAGGCCGGCTTGGGACGGGTAAGTGTCAAAAAAAAATGCGCCGCAGGCGGCAAATTTTTCAGGGTATAAGTAGAGGCCCGGCAGAGTGACCAAATTGGGACGGGTTTGTGTGAAGAAGAAATGCGCCGCAGGCGGCAAATTTTTCAGGGTATAAATAGAGGCCCGGCAGGTAGACAAAATTGCTGGTGAGGACCTTTTTTTTTTTTTTTTTTTTTTTTTTTTTTTTTTTTTTTGCTCTTCATTTTCATTTCGAGTGACATCAAAAGTAGGTCTCACATTTATTCTTCTAATCAAATTTGAATTTCATTTAACATTGAACTTCAATTCCAATTGCAAATGAAAATAATTAACAATTATCCATATTTCCACAGATACTTCATCGAAATTCTTCATCAACACCAACAACACCATTTTGAAGGAAGGCGAAGGAAGCATTGAAGCAACTTATTCATGGCAAAGGTGAAAGAAGGTAAGACAATGAACAATGAAAACTAATTCAACACATATTAATATTTCTTTCTTTCTTTCATTGATTCTTTACAGCTTCTTCATTCATTCATATGCATTTCTATGGATAATACTCACTGTCTCATTGTGAACTACTACAACTAAATGAACGAGCGAGCTAGCTAACGAATCCACATACATATATGTGTTGTGAAAAGAAGCTGTAACTGCAATACTTCCACTTCCACCAATTGTCAATGCATCGACAACAAATAATACATTGGCTGGACTTGACAAGCAACCACGCAGACTACTAGTAGCCAAGGTAAGGCAAGGCAAGGCAAGGCATTAGAGTTGAAGACTGACCAATAGCAATAGCAATGGCAATGGCAATAGAAATACCAACACTAATACCATTTAGTGGGATCGATTTGAACGGATATTCTAGTGCATACATTGAAGTTGCAGCTGAAATTGGTGGTGAAGTTGAAGTTGAAATTGAAGAAAGTATTGATGAGACAGCAAGGCAAGGCAACGAGATGACAAAGGCGAAAGGCAATTGGCAGTGGCCATCAATGGAAGATGTAAGTGAAAAAGTGATCGAATTGTTACGTGAAGGAGTAGTTGTAGTAGAATTGTTATTGATGTTGGTGTTGATGTTGATGTTGATATTGATGTTGGTGTTAGCTATCAATGTATATGCAATTGTAAAGAGCTGATGAAGTGAGTGAGCGAGTGTTAGAGTTCCGACACGGTGCAATAATGGGAGGCCATATGGTGTTGAGCTTTCACGACTACATGGCTTATGGCCGTAGTCCGACTATACCCCCAGAACCACTAATTATTCCCGCAACTCCCAACATTTCGTACTGCTGCTGAAGACTTGGATGAATGAATGCGCATCTCTACATCGTACATCCGGATTGCCACCTGAACACGCGGAATTGTAGCCTTTGTTGGAGTGCTAAGTGCTTCGCCTCTGGTATTTGATACTCACTATGTGGATTATGCGCCGCAGGCCGGCTATGTAAGACTGTCTGCATTGGAGGAATTGCGCCGTAGGCCGGCTTGGGACGGGTAAGTGTCAAGAAAAAATGCGCCGCAGGCGGCAAATTTTTCAGGGTATAAGTAGAGGCCCGGCAGAGTGACCAAATTGGGACGGGTTTGTGTGAAGAAGAAATGCGCCGCAGGCGGCAAATTTTTCAGGGTATAAATAGAGGCCCGGCAGGTAGACAAAATTGCTGGTGAGGACCTTTTTTTTTTTTTTTTTTTTTTTTTTTTTTTTTTTTTGCTCTTCATTTTCATTTCGAGTGACATCAAAAGTAGGTCTCACATTTATTCTTCTAATCAAATTTGAATTTCATTTAACATTGAACTTCAATTCCAATTGCAAATGAAAATAATTAACAATTATCCATATTTCCACAGATACTTCATCGAATTTCTTCATCAACACCAACAACACCATTTTGAAGGAAGGCGAAGGAAGCATTGAAGCAACTTATTCATGGCAAAGGTAAAAGAAGAAGGTAAGACAATGAACAATGAAAACTAATTGAACACATATTAATATTTCTTTCTTTCATTGATTCTTTACAGCTTCTTCATTCATTCATATGCATTTCTATGGATAATACTCACTGTCTCATTGTGAACTACTACAACTAAATGAACGAGCGAGCTAGCTAACGAATCCACATACATATATGTGTTGTGAAAAGAAGCTGTAACTGCAATACTTCCTCCAATTGTCAATGCATCGACAACAAATAATACATTGGCTGGACTTGACAAGCAACCACGCAGACTACTAGTAGCCAAGGTAAGGCAAGGCAAGGCAAGGCATTAGAGTTGAAGACTGACCAATAGCAATAGCAATGGCAATGGCAATAGAAATACCAACACTAATACCATTTAGTGGGATCGATTTGAACGGATATTCTAGTGCATACATTGAAGTTGCAGCTGAAATTGGTGGTGAAGTTGAAGTTGAAATTGAAGAAAGTATTGATGAGACAGCAAGGCAAGGCAACGAGATGACAAAGGCGAAAGGCAATTGGCAGTGGCCATCAATGGAAGATGTAAGTGAAAAAGTGATCGAATTGTTACGTGAAGGAGTAGTTGTAGTAGAATTGTTATTGATGTTGGTGTTGATGTTGATGTTGATATTGATGTTGGTGTTAGCTATCAATGTATATGCAATTGTAAAGAGCTGATGAAGTGAGTGAGCGAGTGTTAGAGTTCCGACACGGTGCAATAATGGGAGGCCATATGGTGTTGAGCTTTCACGACTACATGGCTTATGGCCGTAGTCCGACTATACCCCCAGAACCACTAATTATTCCCGCAACTCCCAACATTTCGTACTGCTGCTGAAGACTTGGATGAATGAATGCGCATCTCTACATCGTACATCCGGATTGCCACCTGAACACGCGGAATTGTAGCCTTTGTTGGAGTGCTAAGTGCTTCGCCTCTGGTATTTGATACTCACTATGTGGATTATGCGCCGCAGGCCGGCTATGTAAGACTGTCTGCATTGGAGGAATTGCGCCGTAGGCCGGCTTGGGACGGGTAAGTGTCAAGAAAAAATGCGCCGCAGGCGGCAAATTTTCAGGGTATAAGTAGAGGCCCGGCAGAGTGACCAAATTGGGACGGGTTTGTGTGAAGAAGAAATGCGCCGCAGGCGGCAAATTTTTCAGGGTATAAATAGAGGCCCGGCAGGTAGACAAAATTGCTGGTGAGGACCTTTTTTTTTTTTTTTTTTTTTTTTTTTTTTTTTTTTTTTGCTCTTCATTTTCATTTCGAGTGACATCAAAAGTAGGTCTCACATTTATTCTTCTAATCAAATTTGAATTTCATTTAACATTGAACTTCAATTCCAATTGCAAATGAAAATAATTAACAATTATCCATATTTCCACAGATACTTCATCGAATTTCTTCATCAACACCAACAACACCATTTTGAAGGAAGGCGAAGGAAGCATTGAAGCAACTTATTCATGGCAAAGGTAAAAGAAGAAGGTAAGACAATGAACAATGAAAACTAATTGAACACATATTAATATTTCTTTCTTTCATTGATTCTTTACAGCTTCTTCATTCATTCATATGCATTTCTATGGATAATACTCACTGTCTCATTGTGAACTACTACAACTAAATGAACGAGCGAGCTAGCTAACGAATCCACATACATATATGTGTTGTGAAAAGAAGCTGTAACTGCAATACTTCCTCCAATTGTCAATGCATCGACAACAAATAATACATTGGCTGGACTTGACAAGCAACCACGCAGACTACTAGTAGCCAAGGTAAGGCAAGGCAAGGCAAGGCATTAGAGTTGAAGACTGACCAATAGCAATAGCAATGGCAATGGCAATAGAAATACCAACACTAATACCATTTAGTGGGATCGATTTGAACGGATATTCTAGTGCATACATTGAAGTTGCAGCTGAAATTGGTGGTGAAGTTGAAGTTGAAATTGAAGAAAGTATTGATGAGACAGCAAGGCAAGGCAACGAGATGACAAAGGCGAAAGGCAATTGGCAGTGGCCATCAATGGAAGATGTAAGTGAAAAAGTGATCGAATTGTTACGTGAAGGAGTAGTTGTAGTAGAATTGTTATTGATGTTGGTGTTGATGTTGATGTTGATATTGATGTTGGTGTTAGCTATCAATGTATATGCAATTGTAAAGAGCTGATGAAGTGAGTGAGCGAGTGTTAGAGTTCCGACACGGTGCAATAATGGGAGGCCATATGGTGTTGAGCTTTCACGACTACATGGCTTATGGCCGTAGTCCGACTATACCCCCAGAACCACTAATTATTCCCGCAACTCCCAACATTTCGTACTGCTGCTGAAGACTTGGATGAATGAATGCGCATCTCTACATCGTACATCCGGATTGCCACCTGAACACGCGGAATTGTAGCCTTTGTTGGAGTGCTAAGTGCTTCGCCTCTGGTATTTGATACTCACTATGTGGATTATGCGCCGCAGGCCGGCTATGTAAGACTGTCTGCATTGGAGGAATTGCGCCGTAGGCCGGCTTGGGACGGGTAAGTGTCAAGAAAAAATGCGCCGCAGGCGGCAAATTTTTCAGGGTATAAGTAGAGGCCCGGCAGAGTGACCAAATTGGGACGGGTTTGTGTGAAGAAGAAATGCGCCGCAGGCGGCAAATTTTTCAGGGTATAAATAGAGGCCCGGCAGGTAGACAAAATTGCTGGTGAGGACCTTTTTTTTTTTTTTTTTTTTTTTTTTTTTTTTTTTTTTGCTCTTCATTTTCATTTCGAGTGACATCAAAAGTAGGTCTCACATTTATTCTTCTAATCAAATTTGAATTTCATTTAACATTGAACTTCAATTCCAATTGCAAATGAAAATAATTAACAATTATCCATATTTCCACAGATACTTCATCGAATTTCTTCATCAACACCAACAACACCATTTTGAAGGAAGGCGAAGGAAGCATTGAAGCAACTTATTCATGGCAAAGGTAAAAGAAGAAGGTAAGACAATGAACAATGAAAACTAATTGAACACATATTAATATTTCTTTCTTTCATTGATTCTTTACAGCTTCTTCATTCATTCATATGCATTTCTATGGATAATACTCACTGTCTCATTGTGAACTACTACAACTAAATGAACGAGCGAGCTAGCTAACGAATCCACATACATATATGTGTTGTGAAAAGAAGCTGTAACTGCAATACTTCCTCCAATTGTCAATGCATCGACAACAAATAATACATTGGCTGGACTTGACAAGCAACCACGCAGACTACTAGTAGCCAAGGTAAGGCAAGGCATTAGAGTTGAAGACTGACCAATAGCAATAGCAATAGCAATGGCAATGGCAATACCAACACTAATACCATTTAATGGGATCGATTTGAACGGATATTCTAGTGCATACATTGAAGTTGCAGCTGAAATTGGTGGTGAGGTTGAAGTTGAAATTGAAGAAGAAAGTATTGATGAGACAGCAAGGCAACGAGATGACAAAGGCGAAAGGCAATTGGCAGTGGCCATCAATGGAAGATGTAAGTGAAAAAGTGATCGAATTGTTACGTGAAGGAGTAGTTGTAGTAGAATTGTTATTGATATTGGTGTTGATGTTGATGTTGATGTTGATGTTGATATTGGTGTTGATGTTGATATTGGTGTTAGCTATCAATCTGTATGCAAGTGTGAAGAGCTGATGAAGTGAGTGAGCGAGTGTTAGAGTTCCGACACGGTGCAATAATGGGAGGCCATATGGTGTTGAGCTTTCACGACTACATGGCTTATGGCCGTAGTCCGACTATACCCCCAGAACCACTAATTATTCCCGCAACTCCCAACATTTCGTACTGCTGCTGAAGACTTGGATGAATGAATGCGCATCTCTACATCGTACATCCGGATTGCCACCTGAACACGCGGAATTGTAGCCTTTGTTGGAGTGCTAAGTGCTTCGCCTCTGGTATTTGATACTCACTATGTGGATTATGCGCCGCAGGCCGGCTATGTAAGACTGTCTGCATTGGAGGAATTGCGCCGTAGGCCGGCTTGGGACGGGTAAGTGTCAAGAAAAAATGCGCCGCAGGCGGCAAATTTTTCAGGGTATAAGTAGAGGCCCGGCAGAGTGACCAAATTGGGACGGGTTTGTGTGAAGAAGAAATGCGCCGCAGGCGGCAAATTTTTCAGGGTATAAATAGAGGCCCGGCAGGTAGACAAAATTGCTGGTGAGGACCTTTTTTTTTTTTTTTTTTTTTTTTTTTTTTTTTTTGCTCTTCATTTTCATTTCGAGTGACATCAAAAGTAGGTCTCACATTTATTCTTCTAATCAAATTTGAATTTCATTTAACATTGAACTTCAATTCCAATTGCAAATGAAAATAATTAACAATTATCCATATTTCCACAGATACTTCATCGAATTTCTTCATCAACACCAACAACACCATTTTGAAGGAAGGCGAAGGAAGCATTGAAGCAACTTATTCATGGCAAAGGTAAAAGAAGAAGGTAAGACAATGAACAATGAAAACTAATTGAACACATATTAATATTTCTTTCTTTCATTGATTCTTTACAGCTTCTTCATTCATTCATATGCATTTCTATGGATAATACTCACTGTCTCATTGTGAACTACTACAACTAAATGAACGAGCGAGCTAGCTAACGAATCCACATACATATATGTGTTGTGAAAAGAAGCTGTAACTGCAATACTTCCTCCAATTGTCAATGCATCGACAACAAATAATACATTGGCTGGACTTGACAAGCAACCACGCAGACTACTAGTAGCCAAGGTAAGGCAAGGCATTAGAGTTGAAGACTGACCAATAGCAATAGCAATAGCAATGGCAATGGCAATACCAACACTAATACCATTTAATGGGATCGATTTGAACGGATATTCTAGTGCATACATTGAAGTTGCAGCTGAAATTGGTGGTGAGGTTGAAGTTGAAATTGAAGAAGAAAGTATTGATGAGACAGCAAGGCAACGAGATGACAAAGGCGAAAGGCAATTGGCAGTGGCCATCAATGGAAGATGTAAGTGAAAAAGTGATCGAATTGTTACGTGAAGGAGTAGTTGTAGTAGAATTGTTATTGATATTGGTGTTGATGTTGATGTTGATGTTGATGTTGATATTGGTGTTGATGTTGATATTGGTGTTAGCTATCAATCTGTATGCAAGTGTGAAGAGCTGATGAAGTGAGTGAGCGAGTGTTAGAGTTCCGACACGGTGCAATAATGGGAGGCCATATGGTGTTGAGCTTTCACGACTACATGGCTTATGGCCGTAGTCCGACTATACCCCCAGAACCACTAATTATTCCCGCAACTCCCAACATTTCGTACTGCTGCTGAAGACTTGGATGAATGAATGCGCATCTCTACATCGTACATCCGGATTGCCACCTGAACACGCGGAATTGTAGCCTTTGTTGGAGTGCTAAGTGCTTCGCCTCTGGTATTTGATACTCACTATGTGGATTATGCGCCGCAGGCCGGCTATGTAAGACTGTCTGCATTGGAGGAATTGCGCCGTAGGCCGGCTTGGGACGGGTAAGTGTCAAGAAAAAATGCGCCGCAGGCGGCAAATTTTTCAGGGTATAAGTAGAGGCCCGGCAGAGTGACCAAATTGGGACGGGTTTGTGTGAAGAAGAAATGCGCCGCAGGCGGCAAATTTTTCAGGGTATAAATAGAGGCCCGGCAGGTAGACAAAATTGCTGGTGAGGACCTTTTTTTTTTTTTTTTTTTTTTTTTTTTTTTTTTTTTGCTCTTCATTTTCATTTCGAGTGACATCAAAAGTAGGTCTCACATTTATTCTTCTAATCAAATTTGAATTTCATTTAACATTGAACTTCAATTCCAATTGCAAATGAAAATAATTAACAATTATCCATATTTCCACAGATACTTCATCGAAATTCTTCATCAACACCAACAACACCATTTTGAAGGAAGGCGAAGGAAGCATTGAAGCAACTTATTCATGGCAAAGGTGAAAGAAGGTAAGACAATGAACAATGAAAACTAATTCAACACATATTAATATTTCTTTCTTTCTTTCATTGATTCTTTACAGCTTCTTCATTCATTCATATGCATTTCTATGGATAATACTCACTGTCTCATTGTGAACTACTACAACTAAATGAACGAGCGAGCTAGCTAACGAATCCACATACATATATGTGTTGTGAAAAGAAGCTGTAACTGCAATACTTCCACTTCCACCAATTGTCAATGCATCGACAACAAATAATACATTGGCTGGACTTGACAAGCAACCACGCAGACTACTAGTAGCCAAGGTAAGGCAAGGCAAGGCAAGGCATTAGAGTTGAAGACTGACCAATAGCAATAGCAATGGCAATGGCAATAGAAATACCAACACTAATACCATTTAGTGGGATCGATTTGAACGGATATTCTAGTGCATACATTGAAGTTGCAGCTGAAATTGGTGGTGAAGTTGAAGTTGAAATTGAAGAAAGTATTGATGAGACAGCAAGGCAAGGCAACGAGATGACAAAGGCGAAAGGCAATTGGCAGTGGCCATCAATGGAAGATGTAAGTGAAAAAGTGATCGAATTGTTACGTGAAGGAGTAGTTGTAGTAGAATTGTTATTGATGTTGGTGTTGATGTTGATGTTGATATTGATGTTGGTGTTAGCTATCAATGTATATGCAATTGTAAAGAGCTGATGAAGTGAGTGAGCGAGTGTTAGAGTTCCGACACGGTGCAATAATGGGAGGCCATATGGTGTTGAGCTTTCACGACTACATGGCTTATGGCCGTAGTCCGACTATACCCCCAGAACCACTAATTATTCCCGCAACTCCCAACATTTCGTACTGCTGCTGAAGACTTGGATGAATGAATGCGCATCTCTACATCGTACATCCGGATTGCCACCTGAACACGCGGAATTGTAGCCTTTGTTGGAGTGCTAAGTGCTTCGCCTCTGGTATTTGATACTCACTATGTGGATTATGCGCCGCAGGCCGGCTATGTAAGACTGTCTGCATTGGAGGAATTGCGCCGTAGGCCGGCTTGGGACGGGTAAGTGTCAAGGAAAAATGCGCCGCAGGCGGCAAATTTTTCAGGGTATAAGTAGAGGCCCGGCAGAGTGACCAAATTGGGACGGGTTTGTGTGAAGAAGAAATGCGCCGCAGGCGGCAAATTTTTCAGGGTATAAATAGAGGCCCGGCAGGTAGACAAAATTGCTGGTGAGGACCTTTTTTTTTTTTTTTTTTTTTTTTTTTTTTTTTTTTTGCTCTTCATTTTCATTTCGAGTGACATCAAAAGTAGGTCTCACATTTATTCTTCTAATCAAATTTGAATTTCATTTAACATTGAACTTCAATTCCAATTGCAAATGAAAATAATTAACAATTATCCATATTTCCACAGATACTTCATCGAATTTCTTCATCAACACCAACAACACCATTTTGAAGGAAGGCGAAGGAAGCATTGAAGCAACTTATTCATGGCAAAGGTGAAAGAAGGTAAGACAATGAACAATGAAAACTAATTCAACACATATTAATATTTCTTTCTTTCTTTCATTGATTCTTTACAGCTTCTTCATTCATTCATATGCATTTCTATGGATAATACTCACTGTCTCATTGTGAACTACTACAACTAAATGAACGAGCGAGCTAGCTAACGAATCCACATACATATATGTGTTGTGAAAAGAAGCTGTAACTGCAATACTTCCTCCAATTGTCAATGCATCGACAACAAATAATACATTGGCTGGACTTGACAAGCAACCACGCAGACTACTAGTAGCCAAGGTAAGGCAAGGCAAGGCAAGGCATTAGAGTTGAAGACTGACCAATAGCAATAGCAATGGCAATGGCAATAGAAATACCAACACTAATACCATTTAGTGGGATCGATTTGAACGGATATTCTAGTGCATACATTGAAGTTGCAGCTGAAATTGGTGGTGAAGTTGAAGTTGAAATTGAAGAAAGTATTGATGAGACAGCAAGGCAAGGCAACGAGATGACAAAGGCGAAAGGCAATTGGCAGTGGCCATCAATGGAAGATGTAAGTGAAAAAGTGATCGAATTGTTACGTGAAGGAGTAGTTGTAGTAGAATTGTTATTGATGTTGGTGTTGATGTTGATGTTGATATTGATGTTGGTGTTAGCTATCAATGTATATGCAATTGTAAAGAGCTGATGAAGTGAGTGAGCGAGTGTTAGAGTTCCGACACGGTGCAATAATGGGAGGCCATATGGTGTTGAGCTTTCACGACTACATGGCTTATGGCCGTAGTCCGACTATACCCCCAGAACCACTAATTATTCCCGCAACTCCCAACATTTCGTACTGCTGCTGAAGACTTGGATGAATGAATGCGCATCTCTACATCGTACATCCGGATTGCCACCTGAACACGCGGAATTGTAGCCTTTGTTGGAGTGCTAAGTGCTTCGCCTCTGGTATTTGATACTCACTATGTGGATTATGCGCCGCAGGCCGGCTATGTAAGACTGTCTGCATTGGATGAATTGTGCCGTTGGCCGGCTTGGGACGGGTAAGTGTCAAGAAAAAATGCGCCGCAGGCGGCAAATTTTTCAGGGTATAAGTAGAGGCCCGGCAGAGTGACCAAATTGGGACGGGTTTGTGTGAAGAAGAAATGCGCCGCAGGCGGCAAATTTTTCAGGGTATAAATAGAGGCCCGGCAGGTAGACAAAATTGCTGGTGAGGACCTTTTTTTTTTTTTTTTTTTTTTTTTTTTTTTTTTTTGCTCTTCATTTTCATTTCGAGTGACATCAAAAGTAGGTCTCACATTTATTCTTCTAATCAAATTTGAATTTCATTTAACATTGAACTTCAATTCCAATTGCAAATGAAAATAATTAACAATTATCCATATTTCCACAGATACTTCATCGAATTTCTTCATCAACACCAACAACACCATTTTGAAGGAAGGCGAAGGAAGCATTGAAGCAACTTATTCATGGCAAAGGTAAAAGAAGAAGGTAAGACAATGAACAATGAAAACTAATTGAACACATATTAATATTTCTTTCTTTCATTGATTCTTTACAGCTTCTTCATTCATTCATATGCATTTCTATGGATAATACTCACTGTCTCATTGTGAACTACTACAACTAAATGAACGAGCGAGCTAGCTAACGAATCCACATACATATATGTGTTGTGAAAAGAAGCTGTAACTGCAATACTTCCTCCAATTGTCAATGCATCGACAACAAATAATACATTGGCTGGACTTGACAAGCAACCACGCAGACTACTAGTAGCCAAGGTAAGGCAAGGCAAGGCAAGGCATTAGAGTTGAAGACTGACCAATAGCAATAGCAATGGCAATGGCAATAGAAATACCAACACTAATACCATTTAGTGGGATCGATTTGAACGGATATTCTAGTGCATACATTGAAGTTGCAGCTGAAATTGGTGGTGAAGTTGAAGTTGAAATTGAAGAAAGTATTGATGAGACAGCAAGGCAACGAGATGACAAAGGCGAAAGGCAATTGGCAGTGGCCATCAATGGAAGATGTAAGTGAAAAAGTGATCGAATTGTTACGTGAAGGAGTAGTTGTAGTAGAATTGTTATTGATATTGGTGTTGATGTTGATGTTGATGTTGATGTTGATATTGGTGTTGATGTTGATATTGGTGTTAGCTATCAATCTGTATGCAAGTGTGAAGAGCTGATGAAGTGAGTGAGCGAGTGTTAGAGTTCCGACACGGTGCAATAATGGGAGGCCATATGGTGTTGAGCTTTCACGACTACATGGCTTATGGCCGTAGTCCGACTATACCCCCAGAACCACTAATTATTCCCGCAACTCCCAACATTTCGTACTGCTGCTGAAGACTTGGATGAATGAATGCGCATCTCTACATCGTACATCCGGATTGCCACCTGAACACGCGGAATTGTAGCCTTTGTTGGAGTGCTAAGTGCTTCGCCTCTGGTATTTGATACTCACTATGTGGATTATGCGCCGCAGGCCGGCTATGTAAGACTGTCTGCATTGGAGGAATTGCGCCGTAGGCCGGCTTGGGACGGGTAAGTGTCAAGAAAAAATGCGCCGCAGGCGGCAAATTTTTCAGGGTATAAGTAGAGGCCCGGCAGAGTGACCAAATTGGGACGGGTTTGTGTGAAGAAGAAATGCGCCGCAGGCGGCAAATTTTTCAGGGTATAAATAGAGGCCCGGCAGGTAGACAAAATTGCTGGTGAGGACCTTTTTTTTTTTTTTTTTTTTTTTTTTTTTTTTTTTTGCTCTTCATTTTCATTTCGAGTGACATCAAAAGTAGGTCTCACATTTATTCTTCTAATCAAATTTGAATTTCATTTAACATTGAACTTCAATTCCAATTGCAAATGAAAATAATTAACAATTATCCATATTTCCACAGATACTTCATCGAATTCTTCATCAACACCAACAACACCATTTTGAAGGAAGGCGAAGGAAGCATTGAAGCAACTTATTCATGGCAAAGGTGAAAGAAGGTAAGACAATGAACAATGAAAACTAATTCAACACATATTAATATTTCTTTCTTTCATTGATTCTTTACAGCTTCTTCATTCATTCATATGCATTTCTATGGATAATACTCACTGTCTCATTGTGAACTACTACAACTAAATGAACGAGCGAGCTAGCTAACGAATCCACATACATATATGTGTTGTGAAAAGAAGCTGTAACTGCAATACTTCCACTTCCACCAATTGTCAATGCATCGACAACAAATAATACATTGGCTGGACTTGACAAGCAACCACGCAGACTACTAGTAGCCAAGGTAAGGCAAGGCAAGGCAAGGCATTAGAGTTGAAGACTGACCAATAGCAATAGCAATGGCAATGGCAATAGAAATACCAACACTAATACCATTTAGTGGGATCGATTTGAACGGATATTCTAGTGCATACATTGAAGTTGCAGCTGAAATTGGTGGTGAAGTTGAAGTTGAAATTGAAGAAAGTATTGATGAGACAGCAAGGCAAGGCAACGAGATGACAAAGGCGAAAGGCAATTGGCAGTGGCCATCAATGGAAGATGTAAGTGAAAAAGTGATCGAATTGTTACGTGAAGGAGTAGTTGTAGTAGAATTGTTATTGATGTTGGTGTTGATGTTGATGTTGATATTGATGTTGGTGTTAGCTATCAATGTATATGCAATTGTAAAGAGCTGATGAAGTGAGTGAGCGAGTGTTAGAGTTCCGACACGGTGCAATAATGGGAGGCCATATGGTGTTGAGCTTTCACGACTACATGGCTTATGGCCGTAGTCCGACTATACCCCCAGAACCACTAATTATTCCCGCAACTCCCAACATTTCGTACTGCTGCTGAAGACTTGGATGAATGAATGCGCATCTCTACATCGTACATCCGGATTGCCACCTGAACACGCGGAATTGTAGCCTTTGTTGGAGTGCTAAGTGCTTCGCCTCTGGTATTTGATACTCACTATGTGGATTATGCGCCGCAGGCCGGCTATGTAAGACTGTCTGCATTGGAGGAATTGCGCCGTAGGCCGGCTTGGGACGGGTAAGTGTCAAGAAAAAATGCGCCGCAGGCGGCAAATTTTTCAGGGTATAAGTAGAGGCCCGGCAGAGTGACCAAATTGGGACGGGTTTGTGTGAAGAAGAAATGCGCCGCAGGCGGCAAATTTTTCAGGGTATAAATAGAGGCCCGGCAGGTAGACAAAATTGCTGGTGAGGACCTTTTTTTTTTTTTTTTTTTTTTTTTTTTTTTTTTTTTGCTCTTCATTTTCATTTCGAGTGACATCAAAAGTAGGTCTCACATTTATTCTTCTAATCAAATTTGAATTTCATTTAACATTGAACTTCAATTCCAATTGCAAATGAAAATAATTAACAATTATCCATATTTCCACAGATACTTCATCGAATTTCTTCATCAACACCAACAACACCATTTTGAAGGAAGGCGAAGGAAGCATTGAAGCAACTTATTCATGGCAAAGGTAAAAGAAGAAGGTAAGACAATGAACAATGAAAACTAATTGAACACATATTAATATTTCTTTCTTTCATTGATTCTTTACAGCTTCTTCATTCATTCATATGCATTTCTATGGATAATACTCACTGTCTCATTGTGAACTACTACAACTAAATGAACGAGCGAGCTAGCTAACGAATCCACATACATATATGTGTTGTGAAAAGAAGCTGTAACTGCAATACTTCCTCCAATTGTCAATGCATCGACAACAAATAATACATTGGCTGGACTTGACAAGCAACCACGCAGACTACTAGTAGCCAAGGTAAGGCAAGGCAAGGCAAGGCATTAGAGTTGAAGACTGACCAATAGCAATAGCAATGGCAATGGCAATAGAAATACCAACACTAATACCATTTAGTGGGATCGATTTGAACGGATATTCTAGTGCATACATTGAAGTTGCAGCTGAAATTGGTGGTGAAGTTGAAGTTGAAATTGAAGAAAGTATTGATGAGACAGCAAGGCAAGGCAACGAGATGACAAAGGCGAAAGGCAATTGGCAGTGGCCATCAATGGAAGATGTAAGTGAAAAAGTGATCGAATTGTTACGTGAAGGAGTAGTTGTAGTAGAATTGTTATTGATGTTGGTGTTGATGTTGATGTTGATATTGATGTTGGTGTTAGCTATCAATGTATATGCAATTGTAAAGAGCTGATGAAGTGAGTGAGCGAGTGTTAGAGTTCCGACACGGTGCAATAATGGGAGGCCATATGGTGTTGAGCTTTCACGACTACATGGCTTATGGCCGTAGTCCGACTATACCCCCAGAACCACTAATTATTCCCGCAACTCCCAACATTTCGTACTGCTGCTGAAGACTTGGATGAATGAATGCGCATCTCTACATCGTACATCCGGATTGCCACCTGAACACGCGGAATTGTAGCCTTTGTTGGAGTGCTAAGTGCTTCGCCTCTGGTATTTGATACTCACTATGTGGATTATGCGCCGCAGGCCGGCTATGTAAGACTGTCTGCATTGGAGGAATTGCGCCGTAGGCCGGCTTGGGACGGGTAAGTGTCAAGAAAAAATGCGCCGCAGGCGGCAAATTTTTCAGGGTATAAGTAGAGGCCCGGCAGAGTGACCAAATTGGGACGGGTTTGTGTGAAGAAGAAATGCGCCGCAGGCGGCAAATTTTTCAGGGTATAAATAGAGGCCCGGCAGGTAGACAAAATTGCTGGTGAGGACCTTTTTTTTTTTTTTTTTTTTTTTTTTTTTTTTTTTTTTTGCTCTTCATTTTCATTTCGAGTGACATCAAAAGTAGGTCTCACATTTATTCTTCTAATCAAATTTGAATTTCATTTAACATTGAACTTCAATTCCAATTGCAAATGAAAATAATTAACAATTATCCATATTTCCACAGATACTTCATCGAAATTCTTCATCAACACCAACAACACCATTTTGAAGGAAGGCGAAGGAAGCATTGAAGCAACTTATTCATGGCAAAGGTGAAAGAAGGTAAGACAATGAACAATGAAAACTAATTCAACACATATTAATATTTCTTTCTTTCTTTCATTGATTCTTTACAGCTTCTTCATTCATTCATATGCATTTCTATGGATAATACTCACTGTCTCATTGTGAACTACTACAACTAAATGAACGAGCGAGCTAGCTAACGAATCCACATACATATATGTGTTGTGAAAAGAAGCTGTAACTGCAATACTTCCACTTCCACCAATTGTCAATGCATCGACAACAAATAATACATTGGCTGGACTTGACAAGCAACCACGCAGACTACTAGTAGCCAAGGTAAGGCAAGGCAAGGCAAGGCATTAGAGTTGAAGACTGACCAATAGCAATAGCAATGGCAATGGCAATAGAAATACCAACACTAATACCATTTAGTGGGATCGATTTGAACGGATATTCTAGTGCATACATTGAAGTTGCAGCTGAAATTGGTGGTGAAGTTGAAGTTGAAATTGAAGAAAGTATTGATGAGACAGCAAGGCAAGGCAACGAGATGACAAAGGCGAAAGGCAATTGGCAGTGGCCATCAATGGAAGATGTAAGTGAAAAAGTGATCGAATTGTTACGTGAAGGAGTAGTTGTAGTAGAATTGTTATTGATGTTGGTGTTGATGTTGATGTTGATATTGATGTTGGTGTTAGCTATCAATGTATATGCAATTGTAAAGAGCTGATGAAGTGAGTGAGCGAGTGTTAGAGTTCCGACACGGTGCAATAATGGGAGGCCATATGGTGTTGAGCTTTCACGACTACATGGCTTATGGCCGTAGTCCGACTATACCCCCAGAACCACTAATTATTCCCGCAACTCCCAACATTTCGTACTGCTGCTGAAGACTTGGATGAATGAATGCGCATCTCTACATCGTACATCCGGATTGCCACCTGAACACGCGGAATTGTAGCCTTTGTTGGAGTGCTAAGTGCTTCGCCTCTGGTATTTGATACTCACTATGTGGATTATGCGCCGCAGGCCGGCTATGTAAGACTGTCTGCATTGGAGGAATTGCGCCGTAGGCCGGCTTGGGACGGGTAAGTGTCAAGAAAAAATGCGCCGCAGGCGGCAAATTTTTCAGGGTATAAGTAGAGGCCCGGCAGAGTGACCAAATTGGGACGGGTTTGTGTGAAGAAGAAATGCGCCGCAGGCGGCAAATTTTTCAGGGTATAAATAGAGGCCCGGCAGGTAGACAAAATTGCTGGTGAGGACCTTTTTTTTTTTTTTTTTTTTTTTTTTTTTTTTTTTTGCTCTTCATTTTCATTTCGAGTGACATCAAAAGTAGGTCTCACATTTATTCTTCTAATCAAATTTGAATTTCATTTAACATTGAACTTCAATTCCAATTGCAAATGAAAATAATTAACAATTATCCATATTTCCACAGATACTTCATCGAATTTCTTCATCAACACCAACAACACCATTTTGAAGGAAGGCGAAGGAAGCATTGAAGCAACTTATTCATGGCAAAGGTAAAAGAAGAAGGTAAGACAATGAACAATGAAAACTAATTGAACACATATTAATATTTCTTTCTTTCATTGATTCTTTACAGCTTCTTCATTCATTCATATGCATTTCTATGGATAATACTCACTGTCTCATTGTGAACTACTACAACTAAATGAACGAGCGAGCTAGCTAACGAATCCACATACATATATGTGTTGTGAAAAGAAGCTGTAACTGCAATACTTCCTCCAATTGTCAATGCATCGACAACAAATAATACATTGGCTGGACTTGACAAGCAACCACGCAGACTACTAGTAGCCAAGGTAAGGCAAGGCATTAGAGTTGAAGACTGACCAATAGCAATAGCAATAGCAATGGCAATGGCAATACCAACACTAATACCATTTAATGGGATCGATTTGAACGGATATTCTAGTGCATACATTGAAGTTGCAGCTGAAATTGGTGGTGAGGTTGAAGTTGAAATTGAAGAAGAAAGTATTGATGAGACAGCAAGGCAACGAGATGACAAAGGCGAAAGGCAATTGGCAGTGGCCATCAATGGAAGATGTAAGTGAAAAAGTGATCGAATTGTTACGTGAAGGAGTAGTTGTAGTAGAATTGTTATTGATATTGGTGTTGATGTTGATGTTGATGTTGATGTTGATATTGGTGTTGATGTTGATATTGGTGTTAGCTATCAATCTGTATGCAAGTGTGAAGAGCTGATGAAGTGAGTGAGCGAGTGTTAGAGTTCCGACACGGTGCAATAATGGGAGGCCATATGGTGTTGAGCTTTCACGACTACATGGCTTATGGCCGTAGTCCGACTATACCCCCAGAACCACTAATTATTCCCGCAACTCCCAACATTTCGTACTGCTGCTGAAGACTTGGATGAATGAATGCGCATCTCTACATCGTACATCCGGATTGCCACCTGAACACGCGGAATTGTAGCCTTTGTTGGAGTGCTAAGTGCTTCGCCTCTGGTATTTGATACTCACTATGTGGATTATGCGCCGCAGGCCGGCTATGTAAGACTGTCTGCATTGGAGGAATTGCGCCGTAGGCCGGCTTGGGACGGGTAAGTGTCAAGAAAAAATGCGCCGCAGGCGGCAAATTTTTCAGGGTATAAGTAGAGGCCCGGCAGAGTGACCAAATTGGGACGGGTTTGTGTGAAGAAGAAATGCGCCGCAGGCGGCAAATTTTTCAGGGTATAAATAGAGGCCCGGCAGGTAGACAAAATTGCTGGTGAGGACCTTTTTTTTTTTTTTTTTTTTTTTTTTTTTTTTTTTTTTGCTCTTCATTTTCATTTCGAGTGACATCAAAAGTAGGTCTCACATTTATTCTTCTAATCAAATTTGAATTTCATTTAACATTGAACTTCAATTCCAATTGCAAATGAAAATAATTAACAATTATCCATATTTCCACAGATACTTCATCGAAATTCTTCATCAACACCAACAACACCATTTTGAAGGAAGGCGAAGGAAGCATTGAAGCAACTTATTCATGGCAAAGGTGAAAGAAGGTAAGACAATGAACAATGAAAACTAATTCAACACATATTAATATTTCTTTCTTTCTTTCATTGATTCTTTACAGCTTCTTCATTCATTCATATGCATTTCTATGGATAATACTCACTGTCTCATTGTGAACTACTACAACTAAATGAACGAGCGAGCTAGCTAACGAATCCACATACATATATGTGTTGTGAAAAGAAGCTGTAACTGCAATACTTCCACTTCCACCAATTGTCAATGCATCGACAACAAATAATACATTGGCTGGACTTGACAAGCAACCACGCAGACTACTAGTAGCCAAGGTAAGGCAAGGCAAGGCAAGGCATTAGAGTTGAAGACTGACCAATAGCAATAGCAATGGCAATGGCAATAGAAATACCAACACTAATACCATTTAGTGGGATCGATTTGAACGGATATTCTAGTGCATACATTGAAGTTGCAGCTGAAATTGGTGGTGAAGTTGAAGTTGAAATTGAAGAAAGTATTGATGAGACAGCAAGGCAAGGCAACGAGATGACAAAGGCGAAAGGCAATTGGCAGTGGCCATCAATGGAAGATGTAAGTGAAAAAGTGATCGAATTGTTACGTGAAGGAGTAGTTGTAGTAGAATTGTTATTGATGTTGGTGTTGATGTTGATGTTGATATTGATGTTGGTGTTAGCTATCAATGTATATGCAATTGTAAAGAGCTGATGAAGTGAGTGAGCGAGTGTTAGAGTTCCGACACGGTGCAATAATGGGAGGCCATATGGTGTTGAGCTTTCACGACTACATGGCTTATGGCCGTAGTCCGACTATACCCCCAGAACCACTAATTATTCCCGCAACTCCCAACATTTCGTACTGCTGCTGAAGACTTGGATGAATGAATGCGCATCTCTACATCGTACATCCGGATTGCCACCTGAACACGCGGAATTGTAGCCTTTGTTGGAGTGCTAAGTGCTTCGCCTCTGGTATTTGATACTCACTATGTGGATTATGCGCCGCAGGCCGGCTATGTAAGACTGTCTGCATTGGAGGAATTGCGCCGTAGGCCGGCTTGGGACGGGTAAGTGTCAAGAAAAAATGCGCCGCAGGCGGCAAATTTTTCAGGGTATAAGTAGAGGCCCGGCAGAGTGACCAAATTGGGACGGGTTTGTGTGAAGAAGAAATGCGCCGCAGGCGGCAAATTTTTCAGGGTATAAATAGAGGCCCGGCAGGTAGACAAAATTGCTGGTGAGGACCTTTTTTTTTTTTTTTTTTTTTTTTTTTTTTTTTTTTTTTGCTCTTCATTTTCATTTCGAGTGACATCAAAAGTAGGTCTCACATTTATTCTTCTAATCAAATTTGAATTTCATTTAACATTGAACTTCAATTCCAATTGCAAATGAAAATAATTAACAATTATCCATATTTCCACAGATACTTCATCGAATTTCTTCATCAACACCAACAACACCATTTTGAAGGAAGGCGAAGGAAGCATTGAAGCAACTTATCATGGCAAAGGTAAAAGAAGAAGGTAAGACAATGAACAATGAAAACTAATTGAACACATATTAATATTTCTTTCTTTCATTGATTCTTTACAGCTTCTTCATTCATTCATATGCATTTCTATGGATAATACTCACTGTCTCATTGTGAACTACTACAACTAAATGAACGAGCGAGCTAGCTAACGAATCCACATACATATATGTGTTGTGAAAAGAAGCTGTAACTGCAATACTTCCTCCAATTGTCAATGCATCGACAACAAATAATACATTGGCTGGACTTGACAAGCAACCACGCAGACTACTAGTAGCCAAGGTAAGGCAAGGCAAGGCAAGGCATTAGAGTTGAAGACTGACCAATAGCAATAGCAATGGCAATGGCAATAGAAATACCAACACTAATACCATTTAGTGGGATCGATTTGAACGGATATTCTAGTGCATACATTGAAGTTGCAGCTGAAATTGGTGGTGAAGTTGAAGTTGAAATTGAAGAAAGTATTGATGAGACAGCAAGGCAAGGCAACGAGATGACAAAGGCGAAAGGCAATTGGCAGTGGCCATCAATGGAAGATGTAAGTGAAAAGTGATCGAATTGTTACGTGAAGGAGTAGTTGTAGTAGAATTGTTATTGATATTGGTGTTGATGTTGATGTTGATGTTGATGTTGATATTGGTGTTGATGTTGATATTGGTGTTAGCTATCAATCTGTATGCAAGTGTGAAGAGCTGATGAAGTGAGTGAGCGAGTGTTAGAGTTCCGACACGGTGCAATAATGGGAGGCCATATGGTGTTGAGCTTTCACGACTACATGGCTTATGGCCGTAGTCCGACTATACCCCCAGAACCACTAATTATTCCCGCAACTCCCAACATTTCGTACTGCTGCTGAAGACTTGGATGAATGAATGCGCATCTCTACATCGTACATCCGGATTGCCACCTGAACACGCGGAATTGTAGCCTTTGTTGGAGTGCTAAGTGCTTCGCCTCTGGTATTTGATACTCACTATGTGGATTATGCGCCGCAGGCCGGCTATGTAAGACTGTCTGCATTGCTATGTAGACTGTCTGCATTGGAGGAATTGCGCCGTAGGCCGGCTTGGGACGGGTAAGTGTCAAGAAAAAATGCGCCGCAGGCGGCAAATTTTTCAGGGTATAAGTAGAGGCCCGGCAGAGTGACCAAATTGGGACGGGTTTGTGTGAAGAAGAAATGCGCCGCAGGCGGCAAATTTTTCAGGGTATAAATAGAGGCCCGGCAGGTAGACAAAATTGCTGGTGAGGACCTTTTTTTTTTTTTTTTTTTTTTTTTTTTTTTTTTTTGCTCTTCATTTTCATTTCGAGTGACATCAAAAGTAGGTCTCACATTTATTCTTCTAATCAAATTTGAATTTCATTTAACATTGAACTTCAATTCCAATTGCAAATGAAAATAATTAACAATTATCCATATTTCCACAGATACTTCATCGAAATTCTTCATCAACACCAACAACACCATTTTGAAGGAAGGCGAAGGAAGCATGAAGCAACTTATTCATGGCAAAGGTGAAAGAAGGTAAGACAATGAACAATGAAAACTAATTCAACACATATTAATATTTCTTTCTTTCTTTCATTGATTCTTTACAGCTTCTTCATTCATTCATATGCATTTCTATGGATAATACTCACTGTCTCATTGTGAACTACTACAACTAAATGAACGAGCGAGCTAGCTAACGAATCCACATACATATATGTGTTGTGAAAAGAAGCTGTAACTGCAATACTTCCACTTCCACCAATTGTCAATGCATCGACAACAAATAATACATTGGCTGGACTTGACAAGCAACCACGCAGACTACTAGTAGCCACAATCCCACGGCAGCGGGTTCTACGATACCGGATTGACCCGAAACAACAAGTTTCCTGTTTCGGCCAGCGGCTGCCAACCCAGTATGTACATGTTTGTGTTTGTTTATTTTTCTGCATTGGGAGCAGCATATCCCGGAATGCTTGCTCCGGATTTTATTGGTCCGTGCCGGGATTGAGGAAAACCCCGGACCTTGGTTCTGCTCGGTTTTGTCAGAACGTCATCCACCACAGATCTGTCTCGGTGCGATGTAATGGATGCAGAGAGTGGGTGCACTTCAAGAACTGTTCCGGATTAAGGCGTTTGCGAGACTACAGCGAAAGGGATTATGTTGCGACTTGCTGCAGTAACGTAGTCCCCAGCGAGTCCTCTTCTTCGTCGTCCTCGTCAGAGACGTCGTCGGAGTATGGCACTCCACCGCAGTCTCCAGAACAGCAACCAACACCGCAGCACCTAACGCCACATGTTGCTGTTCCAACTCCGGATTGTGCATCATTCTTGCAATTCAATTGCAACGGACTTCGAGGCAAAATAGATGAGATAGTGGAATTTATGAGTCGGAGGAATATTAAGATCGCAGCGGTGCAGGAAACCAAGCTGAATGAAAATTGCAGCCTACAACGTTGTTATGGTTACAACGTACTAAGGAAGGATCGCACCAGAAGTGGAGGTGGGGGATTAGCGTTCCTGTTACACCATTCTGTTCAGTACAGACCTATCTCGCTTGAGCTAGTCTCTAGTGACCCATACATGGAATGTATGGGGGTAGCAGTCAAGTGTGGAACTGCCGAGGTAGAGGTGCTTAATGTGTATATCCCGCCGATTAATAGCTGTGAACCACGTTATTTGCCTGATATTAGCCCATTATTGGTAGGCAATAACCGCCTGGTACTAGGGGATTTTAATGCCCACCATGAGTTGTGGCATTCCGTCCTAGGTAATGACCAGAGGGGATCAGCGCTGGCAGAGCAGATTGACTGCTCCCACATTCTGCACGGTTAACGAGGATGCCCCCACCCGAATAAGAGGAGAGTGTCACAGTTCGCCAGATTTAACCATAGTGTCACCCGGTCTGATAAATGACGTGACTTGGCAACCCGTCATTTCTCTTGGCTCAGACCATCTCCCGATAATCGTCTCCATAAGCAGGTCGCCCGATTTCATAACCTCTGAACGCCGCACTTTCCTTAACCATGGGAAAGCTCACTGGCCAGAGTTCAGAGAATTCACCAACCGCCGCTTCAGAGAACTGCCCAACCCTTCTGATGTTCGGGTAGCAGAAAGGATTTTCCGAAACATCATCAGAGCTGCAGCCGCTCGCTATATACCTGCTGGTCGAATACCCGAGATAAGACCAAACTTCCCAGCAGAGGCAGCGGGATTAGCAAACGAGCGTGATGATCTCCGTCGTACCAACCCTACTGATCCTAGAATCAGTGATTTGACAGTGGAAGTCAACCGGTTGGTGCAGGAGCATAAGAGGAAAAAGTGGCTAGACCATCTGAAGTGCTGCAACATTGGAACCGATATGAGTAAGCTGTGGGTAACGGTTAAGTCGCTCTCGAACCCTGGAAAAAAGGATGATAGGACCTCAGTCACTTTTAACGACGTAACGGTGACTGATCCGAAGAGGTGCGCGGAATATTTTAACCGACAATTTGTCGAGCACCCCGAGAGTGATAGGGCGAAGCGAAGAGTACTACGTCGTATCAGATCTCTTCCCGCCGAGGAGGAACCACCACAGTTTACGATGGGTGATGTTGCAAATGTCATCCGTAACGCTAAGTCATCCAAAGCGTTGGGCCCGGACGGAATCTCAATGGTAATGTTGAAGCAGCTGGATACGCCGGGAGTCGAGTACTTAACAAAAGTTCTCAATTTGTCGCTAGCCACCTACATAGTGCCCGAAACCTGGAAAATGGGCCGGGTGGTCCCGCTACTGAAGCCAGGCAAGGATGCCAGTAAAGGCGAATCGTACAGGCCGATTTCGCTTTTGTCGCCAGTAGCAAAGACTCTTGAGGCTTTACTCTCCCCAGCATTAGAGGAAGCTATGCAGTTGCCAACCACCAGCATGGATTCCGTCCACAACATAGTACCACAACAGCATTACACGCCATTTCCACACATATTAGTAGAGGACCTAAACCAGAACAGGCCGTGTGACAGAACAGTGTTGGTAGCCCTTGACCTATCAAAGGCATTTGATACGGTCAATCATGCCACACTGTTTGAGGACGTACAGAGAACTACCCTCCGGCCAAGTTTGAAACGTTGGATAATCAACTATATGTGTGGACGCCAGTCGTACGTGGAATTCCGGAACAAGAAGTCCAAAGCCCGTAGAGTGAAACAGGGAGTTCCCCAAGGTGGGGTGATATCTCCGGAACTGTTTAACCTCTACCTTTCCGGAATTCCTCGCCCTCCAGACGGCATTGAGATCGTAACGTATGCGGATGATTGTACGATCATGGCGTCGGGTCCAGTGGTCGATGACATATGCGAAAGGTTGAACCCCTATCTCGCGGAGCTTGCCGCATACTTCCACGCGAGGAATATGAAAATATCCGCCACGAAATCAACGGCCACACTCTTTACCACATGGTCTGCGGAGATGAGAACACAGCTGAATGTTCAGGTCGAGGGGAATTTAATACCGACCACGAACTACCCCAAGATTCTTGGGGTAACGTTCGACAGCATGTTCAAGTCGTCCGCGCAAGCCACAGCTATCTGCGACAAGATGAAAAGTAGGAACAAGGTCCTCAAGGCGCTAGCCGGCAGCTCTTGGGGTGCGGACAAAGAAACCTTGTTGACCTCTTATAACGCGATAGGTCGGTCTGTGGTCAACTATGCGGCTCCAGTGTGGTCTGCGAATACTAGTGCTACGCAGTGGAAGAATATCCAGACCTGCCAGAACGCTGCCCTGAGAACTGCGACAGGGTGCCTCCTCATGACACCAGTGGACCATCTACATGAGGAGGCGAAAGTCCTTCCCTTACGTCAGCATAATCATATGCTTTCGTTGCAGTACCTGCTTGGGTGTTACCGTGAGAGCCATCCCAACCATCACAT